ACTCATTCTGCTGCTCTTCCTTCCCAGGTTGCAGGACCCAGCAGCTGGCCATGCAGCTGGAGCCACAGGGGCTCCTTTACATCAAGCTCACCCTGGTGGATCAGTGGGACCCAGCCAGCAATGACCGGGAGCCACAGGTGTTTGGCGTGAATCTGAGTCAGCTGGTGGAAAGGGAAGGGGCTGCCATCAAAGTTCCCCTCCTGATCCAGAAGTGTGTCACCCAGATTGAGCAAAGAGGCTTAAAGGTCAGTGCTGTCCCTCACCAAGTGACCACTCCCCATTCCCCAGTCCCCTCAAGAAACAAGGTTGTCCACAGAAGATGTTGGGGACATGCATCATCTGTAAATCTCAGGCTTTCTCCCTTTGTCTCAAAGTCAAAGTCAATTTATTGTGTTTTAGCAAACAGCCATTGCACACAAATATATAACAAGAAAAGGAAATCTAAACAAAATTCAATTACTGACAGTCGATCTTCAAGGGTCAAATCATTTTCCATATTCTTTGCTGATCTTGCAAACATCTTGTGTTTGTAGAGCCTTAACAAGAAATGTGGATGTTCTAAATGATACAAATTTCTCTACATTAGACAACAGAAAACAAACTTCCAAAAGAGATGAACTTCCCTTGAACGATTTGAACAGAGGATAAATATAGTTGTTTCTAAGGTCATTATAAAAAGGGCATTCAAGTAGCACATGAGTTAAATCTTTTATTGAGATAGAATTACAGCCACATACCAGAGTATGTCTTTCTCTGGGTTTGTGGCACCACTGGCAATGGAGATGCCATCTTTTTCACCTATGGCTTGACCTCTTCTACCTGCATCCCTCCAGATGTTTTGGTGTATAACTCCCATCACAACCCTGGCTAGTGGGAGTTCTGGCCAAAAACCCCTGGAAGAGTCCAGGTTGGGAAGGTCTTCCACTGATTCTTGAGGCAGCAGAACAGCCCTCTTTCCCCATATCTCTTGCCTATGGAGATACCTGTTTGCTTAAGTGATGAGCTCTGCTCTGTTTGTAGGTTGTGGGTCTGTATCGCTTGTGTGGCTCAGCAGCAGTGAAGAAAGAGCTACGCGATGCCTTTGAGAAGGACAGCTCTGCTGTGGTGCTCTCTGAAGACCTCTATCCAGACATCAATGTCATCACAGGTTGGTGTTTGCAATGGTATTCTTTGCTCAATGCCCATTACCAGTCAGCTCCTTGTGTACAGATGTACAGTGGAGCCTCATGGGCATTAGAAGAAGAGCTGCATCTTTGGTGCTGCGGTTCCTGTTTCTTCCTAGCTAAGAACAGAGTCTTGGTGAAGCCAGAGTCTGGTAAAGATACCTTTTTGGAGCATAGTTTCCAGAATTTGGCCTTGCTGCCCAGGGGATTCTGGGAACAGTGCTTTGAAAAAGTAAGATTTCCAGGCTCTGAACAAGGATTGCACCACACTTGAGCCATGGAAGAAATAGGGGTAGGGGTTGTGCCAACCCAACAGGAGGACTTTGCTGGTAGGAGAGTCTAGAGGAGGTTTTACTGATTCATAGCCAGAGTTCCTTCATATTGAGAAGATTAGGTGTCAGGAAATTGAAGAGGACAATGCTCAGAAAGTGTATTCAAGGAGTAATGGGGAAAAGAGAGAAGAGGAGGAGGAGGAGGAGGAAAAATACCCAGCAACTCTTCTGCAATGTTCTTGCTTTATGTAAAACATGGGTGAGGTCAAGATGGGCCTTCTGCGGGAAGGAGATCCAGATTCCTGCAACAAGAGAGAGCCCCACCCTCCCTTCCCTCTTCCCACAGCTGCTTCTGACCCACAGGGTCTAGAGTCAGCAGAGGTCAAAGCAACTTCCTTCCATGAGGAGGTGGT